AATAAACACAGGGGTACAGACCATCAAGGAACGTCACTTCCAAGCCTGATATACTGGGGATGCTATCCACTTGAACAGGAATGGAAACAGCAGAAGTAGCCAGTAGTTGGTGATGAGGTGTGTCCGCAACAGTAACAGGAGCTTTATCTAATGCATTAGCATTCTTCAAAGTACCACTTCGATATCCTGCAGCGTATACATCTGCCAGCCCGTGGGACATGCTCGGTTCACAAATACCTTGACAATGAGAAGAAAGTATTTAATATCCAATGGAAACTGTGACGTGAATGGAAGCATTACAACGACTTACTGGATTCCTCTCCCGTGTTACTTTCAAAGAGGAGATGCATCCTCCCTTCAAACTCCCATGTGCACTTGCCATGCTTCCCGGCTTTCTTTTTGGATCTATAATTTTTAAGTACCCTCATTTGTTCACGTAGCTGATCTGCACTAAAATTGAAATTGTAGGGGTCCTCAGCATACAAGACATCCGATATGTGCTGCCACACCTCTTGGGGCACTGCTCTGCAACGGAGGACTTCCGCATACGGCAGGCACACATCCAAGAATTTGTTGGTTTTTTCGGGCTTGTCTCGCCCCCAGTCGGCCCCTGTCTTACCTGCAGCTCGGGGGGGAAGACAACCTGAGACAGGTGCTGTCTGACTGCATCTCTCTTTGGCAGCAGCAGGTTGACCTAGGATGACAAGCGAGTTAACATCTCCAAAGATAAAGTGAAAGAAACAACAGTTTAAACATTCCTGACCTTTGACCTTAGTCGGCCTAGGCAGCCACTCGCTTGTGTCTACAGTTGAATCGGGAGACAGCGATGCGTCCCACTTCGAAACAGGCTTTTGGCCACTGGCTTTTAGCTTGTTCAATAATCTCAATGTATTAATAGCATCTGGGAGACAGACATGCTAGAAGTTAGACCTCGTGGCCGTGAAGCTGTACAGGTTATAACAACACTTTCAATTACGTCCATCAGTTTTCTGCAACACCTCCTTTGACAAGTACGTAACATATGTGTCTCCATTATTGTCGTGCACCTTAAATTCACATAAACCTTCGTGGACAGACATTTTGCTGATACATTTGGTTAACGGCGGACAACAAAAATTCAAAGACCCACGAACCACGAACCACGAACCACGAAACACCGCGAAACACCACGAAACACGACCGGAACCGGAACCTTATATTTAGTCCTAAACCCTTAGAAAGGCTTCTAGAAACTTGCGTATTGCGGTACACTTTATTACGGTTCACATTGCTATTCGCCGAGCACCGAGAGCCGAGCCGAGCCGCCCCGATTGGCCCCCGAGTAGTCCCAAACCCCCCCCCCCCCCCCACCTCGCTTCCTCCGGAGTGACTCTCACTCTCGCTATCACTCCGGTGTCGCCACTCCCATGCTGCGGAGACTAACTGAATATAGCTTGTGTTTTTGAAAATTGCAAGAATGTTTTGGTCTTTGTAAGCTTTGAGAGTGTATTTCCATTTTTTTTCTCAGACATTATTTTTTTTAGTTGTTTGCTTTGCTCAATAACATTAAAAAAAGATTGATACAATCCAAAAATACAAACCAGACACTAATCTTGCCAAAATAAAAAATCTTTGCTGACTCTTGGCACTGACTCTGGGGAAAAAGGGTTCATTGCAATGCTGTGAGTTTACCATAGTACTAAACCCTTAAAAATAACTATATGGTGAGTGAGTGAGTGTAGCGCATAAAAAGGGTTGACATTGACATCTGATTCAATGAGACGATTCAGTGACTTGGTCATATGATTTCATGAGACGATTCTTTTAACTTCATCATATATTGCCTGCGACAACTGGTAATTTGTGTCGGTCATGGTTTTTAGTTTTTAATTTTCTCAGAATGTTAGGTAAATACTTATGCTATACTGTTTCAAAAATTAAATATCACATCATGAATTATCATTATGAATAAGATTAACTTGCGTTTAGCAATAAGTGGGCTCGACATTGGATTCTATGAAACGATTCATTGGATCTAGCAGAAGGTCTTCTCCGTAAAATAGTTGCAATCAGCCTGCCTGTAAATGTTCTCATTTTAATTAATTGAGATAAATCTAGTTTCATCCACTAGTTTAAAAAAAAAGGTAGATAAAAGGCTTTATAGGTATTACAAAGAACATTGCGTATTCATAAGTTCAATAACAAGGAGATATCGAATGGTAATTGAAGCATTTGTGAATCGTACTAAGCAATTCAATGCTGACTGTTGAATGTTACTCGACTGAGTAACAGTGTCAGGGTTCATGTTACGACACCATGAACAGGAAACACACTTAGAAATTGCGTTCATGTTAACAACTGCAGGCCCATACTTTCAACTAGAATTACATGATTTTGGACCAGAATTTTCTCAGTGAGTCATTGTTTCCTGCAGTATTTGGTGTGCTGATCACAAAAATGACTTTTATTTTCACTCCAGACCTTTACTTTTCCCTAAACTTACCAATTTCGGTCCAAATTTTTTAAGTCGAGTTTTACATAGTTTCCTGCAGTTTTTGGTGCGCTGATCACGAAAATGACTTCCAATTTCATCCCAGACCTTTACTTTTCCCAAAATTTACCAATTTCGGACCAAAATTTTTAAGTCGAGTTATACATAGTTTCCTGCAGTTTTTGGTGCACCGATCACGAAAATGACTTCCAATTTCATCCCAGACCTTTACTTTTCCAAATATTTACCATTTTCGGACCAAAATTCTATAGTCGAGTTTTTCACAGTTTCCTGCAGTGTTTGGTGTGCTGATCACGAAAATGACTTCCAATTTCATCCCAGACCTTTACTTTTCCAAATATTTACCAATTTCGGACCAAAATTTTGAAGTTGAGTTTTACATAGTTTCCTGCAGTTTTCAGTAAGATAATCACGAAAATGACATTAATTCCGGCCCTTTCGTTACGGAAGACACTGTATTGGCCTTATTCTCCACTCTTTGCCATCTCCTATAAGAATGTGTTCAGACGCATCGCTCGCCTACTACGCGCCCAAACTAAACGGCGCGTACCCCTAGTTTAAAAATGCATATTTAAAATATAAATGTTGAACAAGTAGCCAAAGTAGCTTTGAGACGTTCAAATATGATCCCTTGACTACGTTTTGCAGCATAGAAGCCTCGTCTTTTGTCCTCGTTTACTGAGCTACAGCCGTTTTTAAAACTGTCTGTTTTGGCCCACAATTGATTTTTGGAACCAATTGTGGGTCAGCAATTTTTGAAGCTACTCGCGCGCCAAGCCTTGTACACCACTTACCAAACTAAGGTTGACTTTTAGTCCTTCACCTATTATATCCTTAAATCAGCAAGGGCGTCCCCCTCCGTTCCATAATTCGATTTTTTTTTAATGTTTGAAAAACATCCTTTTTTTTCGTTTTTCTTGGCCTTGGATAGGCCCAATTTTCCGTTGAAATTTTAAGGTCTCTCTTTGCTGCCCGATAGGTTTCGTTGTGGTCGATGCTCAGACATCCGCACCGTTTCAGCTGACAAAGGAAGGTTGAGGGAAGACCCATGCCGAATTTGAAGCCGGTTCGGTCATTCATGGATTTATAGCGGCCCGTCAAACAAAATGGCCCATAATTGATTCGTGACCCACAATTGAATTTTGCCCTTAACCACACGTTACCAGGGGGCTGGACGACACATGGCCGTGGCACTTCACCTCGGCGGAGCTCGCAGAACGACCAGCCCGTCAGGCTCGGCGCTGCACGAGGGGATCTGCTTTTGAATCCGCGCTTTGTCACAGTCACTAAGAGCGGCGGAGCGCCACACGGTTAGCGCGACTCCTTGAAAAACAAGGACGGTTTTTGGAAAACAAGGAAAGATGGAACACTTCAAGGAAGTTCCTTAAAAGTCTGCTCCCATTCCAAGGATGCTCCCTGGTTTTCCAAGGCGAGTCCCTTGTTTTCTTAGACTCCAGACAAAGTTCAAGGGCCCGCCTTGTTTTTGGGGCGCACTTCCAAGGGGACGCCTGGTTGGTCTTTGGCTCAAGGAGCCGCCTTGTTTGTCCGCAAAAGCTCGAGTTACGTCGTCGACAACGTTATGAGGTCCCCGATGACGTCCCGCTGGGGTTACCATGACGACCCCCATGTTTCACTGTGCCGTTGAGGCTGCCGGGTCTCACAGTGGCCAACGCCGAAGTCCGTTTTCTTCTACGTCCAGTACTTTCGGAGATACGAGGACGTACCACGAGGCCGCCGTCCAGGCGGAGGAGGAAGTGGTGATTTTTTCGAGGCCGAAGTAGCTCTGGCCACGAGCCTACTTGGTGTCCGGGACTTTTGACTTCGGAATCGGGTTAGAGGGGTGCCGGCCCACCTCGAAACCAAATTTGGTCAAGTTCCGGCCAGCCGTTTGTGCAGGATGGCGATAAACATCATCATCCAATCAGCAAAAGAAGTCTGCTAGCCGAGGGTCCAAAGCTCTTACGGACCCCCAAAGTAGGGAAGCACCTGTGAGGCGGCGCGATGAGACTGGGCTGCAGTGAACAGAAGGTATCCTCTCGCCTGTTTCAATGTTACCACAGTTCAAAATTTCTCTGCCAAGTTTTGATGGAGCAGCCGTAGATTTGCGGCATCGCAAGCGCTTCTGGAGCGCTTTGAAAACGTTGTCCTCAACCGCTTTTGTTTGAAGCGCCTCCTTCCCTCCGGCGGCTCGGTGCAGGAGCGAATGTCTCGGTGGCACGACCGGTAGGCTTGCCGGCTCCAGCAGCGCGCGCCGCACTGAGTGGCCGCTGGCCGCGGCGCGTCCTGTGCCGCGACCCGTCCTTGTGACGTCAAATGGTGCGATGGGAGGCAGGCTGGGCCAGGCGGCAGGCAGCGCCAGCAGCGCCAGCAGCGCCAGCAGCGCCAGCAGCGCCAAGCCGGTTTGCGACTGTTTGCCGCTCGTTGCGAATCACTGCCGGTGCGTTGCCGCCTTGCCGGCACAGCGTGAGACACGGCACACCGGAACGGCCGGAACGCAGGGGCGCTGCTCAGTGGGCTGCAGCACCGCGCGGCGACACGTCGAGTCGCACGACGAGTCGCAGAACACTCCAGCCAGACAGCGCCGCGCGCAGCACCGCGGAGACCTCCGCCAGGCCGTCTTTGTTGGCCGTCTCGCGCCAGGCGGCCAGGGCCATGACCGTGACCGCGCGCGGTCGCGCGAAGGCAGAGTCCTCCTAGGGCCGCCGCCTCAGCAGGAGTCTTGCAGTTCTTCGAAAATGCGGGCCACGGCGCTCGGCCAGGGCTTGCTCCAGCTGTCGCTGCTGCTGGCGGCTGCAGCTCAGGAGTTTGAGTTCCCGACCCATGCCGCCGGTTCAGGTAACGGCCGGATGCTCCCTCTGGAAGGTGCACTTGCCTTGGTGACGGCCGGATGCTCCCTCTGGAAGGTGCTCTTGCCTTGGTGACGGCCGGATGTAGTGTTCCTTATCGGACGGGTCGTACGGTTTTGCACCGCCCGACGGCGCGGACAGCCTTCGGCCCGATCCGGCCCGCCCGATGAGCAAGCGGCTCGGACGGCATCGGACGGCCGTCAACCCGATCGTCTTGGCTACGTTTGCCGACTAGAGGGCAGCACCTGTCGGGACGGTTTGTGTCACATGCAGGGTGAGGGGCGGGGAGGGGCTGCTTCCGAGCCAGCCGATGTCCAAGCCGTGTCTTCGGCGGCACTTCGGAGCCACTTCGGTTTTTGAGTTTCGATGACACGTCGCGGTGCAGCGCTGCGGTCGAATTTTCACAGAACCCAACCGACCCGCCCAATGCGGAACACTAGCCGGATGCTCCCTCTCTGGAAGTGCACTTGCCTTGGTGACTGCCATTTGCCTTTTGCAAGTTGGAGTGCATGCTGCTTGCCGCCAGGCGTCCGCGAGGCGTGCGTGCTGGGCGGCCTCGGCGTCCCCGGCGGCGCGGCCGAGTGCCGGCCGCTGTCGGAGTGCCCCAGCGCGGTGGAGGACCGCCGCCAGGGCGGCCACCCGCAGCTGTGCGGCTTCCCGTCCGGAGGCTCCAGCATGCCCGACGTCTGCTGTCCTCTGCAGTACGGCAGGACCATGCCGTCGACGCCGCCCCCGCGGCCCGGCCCGCCTGACGGCCCGCCTGGCCTGTCCTGCGGCGCCTTCAACCGCAGCGTCGCCCTCGAGGACGTCATCGGCGGTCCGGGCAGCGTGGCCAGAAAGAGTGAGTGAGAAAGAATGAAACGCACAGTGCGCCAGAAGACCGGTGGAGGCGGCCAAGACGGGAGACGCGTTTTGGGCTCCAGGGTCGCTAAACAGGACTCGAACCGAACGTGTGACCCCCACCAATGGATTCCTCGTTCGCGGAGAGCAATCCATGAGTGGGGTCATGCGATCGGTTCGAGTCCCATTCAGCGACTGGAGCTCAAAACGCGTCTAGAATTTTGGCCGCCTGCGCCGGTCTTCTGGCCCACTGTGAAACGTAACCCCTGAGTGCGCTGCGCAGTCATTGGTTTCCCGACCCCTCTTCCCTTTCTCTCGCCCCGTCTGGCCTCCTCCACCGTCTCTTCGCTCACTCCCTCGCCCTCGCAGAGTGCCTGCAGTACCAGCGGCAGATCTGCTCCGGCGAGGTGAGCAGAGAGGACAGGACCAAATACGTCGCTTTCGGCGCCTACTTCTCCCCCGCCGACTCGATGGAGTACCCCCACATGGTGAGTGCCGCGGCATGCCGGCCGAGAGCCCCATCACAAGCAGCTCCATTCCGCCATGAGTCCGCGCACAGTGGGCCAGAAACCGGTGGAGGCGGCCGAAATTCTATACGCGTTTTGACCTCCAGATTCGCTGAATGGGACTCGAACCGACCGTTTGACCCCATCAATGGATTGCTCTCCGGACGAGGAATCCATTGGTGGGGTCACACGTTCGGTTCGAGTCCTGTTTAGTGACTCGGGAGCTCAAAACGCGTCTAGAATTTTGGCCGCCTCCGCCGGTTTCTGATCCACTGTGCCTCGGCAGAGTGCTTTCATAATGGTGTCTCGTCCCGCCCTGGGTGGCCCAGGCTCTGCTCGGCTACGGCGAGAAGGACGCCGTCGAGTACAGCTGCGGCGGCTCCCTCATCTCCCCGGACTTCGTCCTCACGGCGGCGCACTGCGTCGCCCTCGGCGCGTGAGTCTCTGCAGGCCGATTCCGAGAGTCGTTTTCGTCGCTCTGTCTCTCTCGCACCCACTCGGGACGCCGCATGAGTCCGAGAGACGCAGAGCGACGAAAACGATTCTCGGAATCAGTCTGCTGTCTTTCTCGCTCAGAGATGGAATTGCTGCAAAGGAAAGGGCTGTCGCCTAGGTTCCGAATGACCGTTTCGTCGCGCTGCCTCTCTCGCACCAGTGCGGGATGGCCGAGGGGTGACCCACTGTAAGATTCTGTAGGGAAAGTGGGAATGTGTTGGAATGTCCAAGATTTCTGGTGTATTTGTCACCCATGCCTACTTACAGGCGTTTTCGCCATCTGACTGTGGAATGTGTTCAAATTTTGTACAATAAATGTGGGAACACTGAAAAACCAAACGTGGTCTAGACCGCACCAAGTGGTGCGGTCAAATGGGTGCCATTTTGACCGCATCAGTAGGAGCGGTCTAGACCACGTTTGGTGCGTTTCGAGGGGGAAATCACTCCTAAAACCTACGACCCGACTATTACGCCTATAACGCTCTATTACGCCTCAAAATATAGCGATTTAGCTGAAAACAGACCAAAAAAACCCTAAAATAGATCAAATTTTGAGAATTTCAGCTATTACGCTACTATTACGCACACTATTACGCGTGCTATTACGGACAGGGTGACCCGACTATTACGCGAGTGCTTTCCCCCTCGGTGCGTTTGGTGTGGTCTAGACCGAACCAAACGTGGCCAAACGTGGTCTATTTGACCACACCAGTGGTGCGGTCTAGACCACGTGTGGTTTTTCAGTGAAGTTGTTTCCCCCTCGGGGATGCCCCATGGCAGCGCTACGAAAGAATCATTGGGACTCAGGCGACCCTGATGTGACGCTGCTCCCTCCAACAGGTCCAGGGTGCGCTGGGTGCTGCTGGGCGCGCTGAACCGCACCGAGTCGCTGGCGGACAAGGGCACGCGGCAGCTGCTGGAGGTGGCCGAGGTGGTGGTGCACCCCGAGTACACGGTGCGGGCGCGCTACCACGACATCGCCCTGCTGCGCCTGGCCGGGAGCGCGCGCCTCGCGGAGGACGACGTGCGGCCGGCCTGCCTGCACACCGACCTGGACGGCGACACGGACACGCTGCGCGGCGAGCTGGCCGTCGTCACTGGCTGGGGCGCGGAGGCCTATGGTCGGTGGGGACGTCCAACGCACAGTGGGCCAGAAGACCGGCGGAGGCGGCCAAAACTCTAGGCGCGTTTTGAGCCCCAGAGTCGCTAAACAGGGCTCGAACCGAACGTGTGATCCCACCAATGCACTCCTCGTTCGGAGAGCAATCCATTGGTGGTGTCAGACGTTCGGTTCGAGTCCCATTTGGCGACTCTGGAGCTCAAAACGCGTCTAGAGTTTTGGCCGCCGGTGCCGGTCTTCTGGCCCAGCGTGCAGCGCGAAATACCTTCCTTTCGCTCGAGACCTATGTTTTGTTGGGCGTTTCACGGCGTTTCACTTCCAGGCGACGACGGCAGCGAGAGGCTGCTCAAAGGCAACGTGACGCTGCGCGGGCTGGCCGAGTGCAACACCCTGGACTCGCGGCTGGCGCGGGGGCTGGACCCGCGGACGCACCTCTGCGCCGGCGGGGACGGCGCCAACCCCACCGACGCCTGCAACGTGAGCGAACTGGACGAAGTCGGCCACTAGTCCACCAAGTGTGCATTGAGTGGTTGAACGGCAGGGAAAGTTTCCAAAGCCGGCCACCTTGTGGGTCAGAAGACCGGTGGAGGCGGCCGAAACTGTAGATGCGTTTTGAGCTCCAGCGTGAGGGGTGACCGGGGGTGACCCGCTGTAAAATTTTGTGTACAATAATTTGTGTGAATGTGCAAGAATGTGCAAGATTTCTGGCGTTTTTGCCACATATGTTTGCCTACTTACAGGCGTTTTTTCCACACATGTTGCCTTCTTATAGGCGTTTTTGCCACCTGAATGAGGAATGTGGTCTGGGAAGCTGTCCCCCACCCCCTCGCTCCAGAGTGGCTAAACGGGACGAACCGAACGTGTGGTCCGCCAAAGGATTGCTCTCCGAACGAGGAATCCATTGGTGGCGTTACACGTTCGGTTCCCGTCCCGTTTATCGACACTGGATACCTTGACACTGGAGCTCAAAACGCGTCAAGAATTTTTTCCGCCTCCACCGGTCTTGTCTTGTGGCGGCCCACCGTGGGCAGGCTGGGCCCAGGATCCCCTTCCCACGTCGACACCTGAACAGAAGACCCGGCTATGAGGCACTTTTTTTAAGAAGTCCGATCGAAAAACATGACCACCGCCGATTTCATCGCCATTTGGGTCGAAGGTACCCCTTATGGGTCTAAGAAAAGCCCTAAAATATTGGGGTCGAAAAACGCATGGTTTGGATGTTATTCACGATTTTCGTTTTCTCTGACACAATTTAGGTGAATTTGGTCAAAATGTAAAAATCGATATTGCTCGGTCCCTGTCGGCTCCAGCTGCCTAAAAATTTACTCTCTCATGTAAAATCGGCCGAGGAACAAGAATCCGGCGTCGGTTTTCCGATTGGACTGCCCAAATTTTGACCATGGCTGTTTTCCCATTTTTGCAGTCATTTCTTGTATCTCTGGGGTTTTGGTGATGGACATCGATTTTGACCGATCCCGGGGGTGGAATTTGAAGATAAAGGATCAAACTAAAATATTCCGTCATAAAAAATTTGTGTATAGGGCAGCCCTAGCAGCAGCTACAAAAACCGTGAAAATGCATGTTTTGAGCAGAAAACTGCCCCTCTTTGTTCTTTCCACAGGACTGCGGTGGAAAGGCAGCGTGCTCCAGTGTGAGGGAGGCCTTCTGAGGCGCTGGCACTCATGTGGAAGCAGCGCACCATAGCCCAGCGCCAACACACAGGCAGCGAAACACGGACCTGCCTACGTAACGCCTGCGAACTGGAAGGTAGGCACGCCCGCCAAACGCCGCTGCGTGGCTGGCTGCCTACCCGCCGTGCTCGCAGGCGCTTGCTCCATCTCGCCATGGTCTCCCCATTCAGTTCACACTTGTAACAATGTTGAGCCGTGGTGTCCTCGCAAAATCGTCGCGGTAACTCCTCTCGTGGAGAATTCGGAATTTGGAAACAAGGGACTAGCCTTGGAAAGCAAGGGAGCCTCTCTCTCCTTGAAATGGGAGCACACTTCCAAGGAACTTCCGTGAAGTGTTCCATCTTTCCTTGTTTTGAAAATAAAATGTCCTTGTCATTCAAGGAGTTGCACTAACTGTGCCCTAGGTCTCTAAGGAGTCAAAAGGAAACCCTACGCTGCAAATCCAAGGGGAGGACAGGTCGACGGGGGCTCATACATGTTAAAAGCACTTTTTTTAAAAAAAAAATTTGATGTAGACGGATTAAGATTTTACAATTTCTGTGTTAAAATCCTTTTAGATAATTGAGTAAGCTTCATTTTGGCTTAAGGGAAAGTGACTTTGGACATTTTTTGGAGATTTAGTCGAAACGTTTAAAATTTTGCTTCTCGTAAGATTTTGTTCGCCTACTTGCTCAGATCTGTGGGGAAAAAATCAGGGAGACTCATCCCCAGTAGTGTCATAGAATTGACTAGAATGGGCTTTATATCTGCAATAGTTTTCAAGAAAAAAAATAAAACCAATTTTTTTAACAATTTTTTAAACAAATTTTTCAACAAAAAATTGTTTTTATTTTTTTCTTGAAAACGATTGCAGATATAAAGCCCATTCTAGTCAATTCTATGACACTACTGGGGATGAGTCTCCCTGATTTTTTCCCCACAGATCTGAGCAAGTATGCGAACAAAATCTTACGAGAAGCAAAATTTTAAACCTTTCGACTACACTGATAGAAAAGATGCTGTTAATTAACAGCATATATCCTGTTAAGTTTTTTAGCAACACTTGTTGTAGAAGAACGGCATATTGTTGGACACTGAGTCGTCATCCAACAGCAGTGTTGTAAAAAGGGATGATGGCTCTCTGTATCTGATCTCTGACAATAAGTTGTTGTGTAACAGAATTACCATTTCCAAATGGCACCAACCTGTTCATAAACAACACTTTTTCTGTTTTCAAACAAAAGAAGTTGTTATACATTTACAAAAAAAATGTCGAGGGTCCTAATAGTCTTATCCAATACTAGCAGTCATTCAGAAACGCTCTTTTCTGTTTACAAACAGCACTGTTCTTCAACGCGGTCTCTCTGTTATTCACAAAAAGGAAATAGGAGTTTCCTGACGGCTCAAACAAGACATTTGTTTTGTAACAGTTCGTGCAGTTCTTGGACAGTTCACCGCTGTTTAAAAATTGGAAGTGTTGCTAAAAAACTTTACAACACAAATGCTGTTCAGAAACAACAGAATTAATTTTGACATAGTTGGAGTTTGATTTGAGCCGTGAGCTGCAAAATACTCCGTCAAATCTTCAATTGAATGGTGTTGTTTTTAAATGACAGGATACCGTTCCAAAACAGCATATATCATTAATTTTACAAACAAGATGTTCTGTTTTCCAGCATTGGAAATCGACTATATTTGTTGTTTTCTCCAATGATGAAACTTGCTGTTTCCTAACAGTATTTGTGCTGTTTTAAGTTCCGATGACACGTGCTGCTTAAAAGCAAATCACTCGTTGGTAAATGTGCTGTTTTCCTACAGTTTCTTTTAACAGTGTAAATCTCCAAAAAATGTCCAAAGTCACTTTTCCTTAAGCCAAAATGAAGCTTACTCAATTATCAAAAAGGATTTTAACACAGAAATTGTAAAATCTTAATCCGTCTACATCAAAAAATTTTTTTTTCAAAGTGCTTTTAACATGTATGAGCCCCCTTAAGGCGTAGACCATTTTGTCCTACGCTGGCAAGTGTCGACCAGCTGTATCCGACGCTCTGATGTGTCGACCACACTGTGTCCGACGCCTGCATGCGTAGGACACTGTTTGTCCTACGGCAAATTACACTCAGTTTCTTGTTGTGGCCCAACACTTCAGCCGTCGGACACTGTGTGCTCGACACTTGCAGGCGTCAGACACTGTGTGGTCGACACTTGCAGGCGTCGGACACTGTGTGGTCGAAACTTGCAGGCGTTGGACACTGTGTGGTCGACACTTCAAAGCGTCGGACACAACTGGTCGACACTTGCAAGCGTAGGACGAACTGGTCTACGCCTTAAAGTGTCGACTACACTTGGATTTGCAGTGTAGGAAGCTTGGACAGTAAAATGCCGTAAATACGCAGGAGAACCATGTTCTAGTATTGTCCGTGGAGACATGGCGTGCCCGCCGGACCGCAAACATGGTTCTCGTACTTTTTGTGGTGTCGCCTGAACAAGAAAATGATTTGTGTGAACCGAACTTTGAATTTCAAATCGATTTACATTGATTGAATTGTCAATATTTCGGCACAAATCACAAATTATATTTGAACACGCTACGAGAACAGGGTTCTCGTACGATGACGTCCCATAAGCCGATACGGCAAAGGCTCAGACGACGACACGAGAACATGGTTCTCGTATAGAAGATTTTTGGCGCATGGTGTTCGGGTGGTCATACCAAGTCCGTATCCATGTGCCATGTTTTGGCGACGTACGGTTCGGTATTTTGCACCTTAGGCCTCTAAGGCTTTGCCGCCAAAATTGGCCTTTGGCGCGAAGGTGTTAAAAAATATTAAAAGAAAGTAAGCAATGTACTGGCCTTGGGTTTGGTACTTCGGACGGAAGGCCCAGGACCGATGAAAACGATGCTTTTCATCGGTAGGATTTTAAAATTTTAACCAAATTCTCCACGAGAGGAGTTACGCGACGATTTGCGAGGACCCACGGCTCAACATTGTTACAAGTGTGAACTGAATGGGGAGACCATGGCGAGATGGAGCAAGCGCCTGCGAGCACGGCGGGTAGGCACCCAGCCACGCAGCGGCGTTTGGCGGGCGTGCCCCTTCCAGTTCGCAGGCGTTACGAGGCAGGTCCGTGTTTCGCTGCCTGTGTGTTGGCGCTGGGTATGGGGCGCTGCTTCCACATGAGTGCCAGGCCTCAGAAGGCCCCCCTCACACTGGAGCACGCTGCCTTTCCACCGCAGTCCTGTGGAAAGAACAAAGGGGCAGTTTCTGCTCAAAACATGCATTTTCAGGGTTTTTTGTAGCTGCTGCTAGGGCTGCCCTATACACAAATTTTTTATGAGGGAAATTTTTAGTTTGATCCTTTATCTTCAAATTCCCCCCCCGGGATCGGTCAAAATCGATGTCCATCCCCAAAAACCCCAGAGATACAAGAAATGACTGCAAAAATGGGAAAACAGCCATGGTCAAAATTTGGGCAGTCCAATCGGAAAACCGACGCCGGATTCTTGTTCCCCGGCCGATTTTTCATGAGAGAGTAAATTTTTAGGCAGCTGGAGCCGACAGGGACCGAGCAATATCGATTTTTTCATTTTGACCAAATTCACCAAATTGTGTCAGGAAAACGAAAAACGTGAATAACATCCAAACCTGCGTTTTTCGCCCCCCAAAATTTTAGGGCTTTTCTTAGACCCCTAAGGGGACCTTCGACCCCAAAAGGCGATGAAATCGGCGGGGTCATGTTTTTTGATCGGACTTCTTAAAAAAAAATGCCTCTATCTTTTTAGAGCGATTTGAGAACCGGCTACCTTTTCAGAGCGATCCGAGAATCGGCTATCTTTTCAAAGCGACCCGAGAACCGGCTATCTTTTACGAGCGATCCGAGAACCGGCTATCTTTTCAGAGCGGTCCGAGAACCCGGGTAACTGACTTTTTTAAGAAATTGAGTTTTTACATTAATCGATAGAACAGGTGATGCGGATTATTTTAATGTAAGAAACTCAATTTCTTAAAAAAAGTCAGTTAGCCGGTTCTCGGACCGCTCTGAAAAGATAGCCGGTTCTCGGATCGCTCGTAAAAGATAGCCGGTTCTCAGGTCGCTTTGAAAAGATAGCCGATTCTCGGATCGCTCTGAAAAGGTAGCCGGTTCTCAAATCGCTCTGAAAAGATAGCCGGGTCTTCTGTTCAGGTGTCGACGTTGCCGCGCGCTGCTCAACCTTGAGAGGAGGACGCCCTCCTCTCAAGGCTCAACCAACTCCTCCTCGGTCTCGGTCCGCAGGGCGACTCCGGCGGCCCGCTGCAGTTCCCCGCCCTGCAGGGCGACCCCGCCTGCATGTTCAGGGTGGCCGGCGTGGTGTCCTTCGGGCCGCCGTGCGGCATCGGGCTGCCCGGCGTGTACACCAAGGTGGCGCCCTACGTGCCCTGGATCGAGAAGATCGTCTGGCCGGAGGCGCGGGCCGAGTGCTTCCCGGACACGGGGCCCGGCACGGTGGCGCGGCGCGGTGAGTCTCTCAGCCTGCGGGGTAGGCCGTCCCGTCACACAGCGCGATGCGGCGACGGCCTACCCTCCGGGTGCTCCATTACCATTGCCATTACGGGCCAGAGCACAAACGATCGTATGCCGTTTCGGGCCCAACACATGCCATGCCCGCTTGTTCTGCAAAACGCGACATGGCCGTCCTTACTAGGATGACACTTCATCCCGGCGAGAAGAGCCTCAAGCGACTACAAGCCCCCGCTCGCAGTATGACCAGTCAGGGAGGAGAGGAGGTGTACATCCCCTCCGAGGGGGGGACTAGACACCCAATCGCCGTGCTGCGCATGTTGGCCACAGTGGGCCAGAGGACCGGCGCCGCACCGGTCTCTTGACGCTTTTTAAGCGGTCTTGCTACCGCTTCTATCTCTACATCCGACCCATCCGTTCCATTCATCCGTCCGTCCGTCCGTCCAATCCGTCCAATCCATCCATCCATCCATCCATCCATCCATCCATTCACTGCGCTCGGCCGGCCGCGCTCGGAGGGGACTGCATGGTCGTGTTGGTCGTCGTCGTCTGTCGTCGTCCCGCCGCGCCGCGCCTCCCTTCCTTCCCCCTCAGGCGCCCCGGCCTGCCAAGCGGCCTGCCTGGCTGCCTGCCTGCCCGGCGCCCCGAGGCGGCCTGCCTGCCCGGCGGCCTGCCTGCCTGCCCGCAATAACAATAACGATTCTGTGATTGATATGGTATTCTCAGATGCAAAGAATGTTCACGTCGAGAGATACCAGTCTTATTTTTCAGACCATGTGCCATTAATAGCTCTTATACCAAGAGAGGATTTGTAATCACTAATAATGAATATATTTTGAATTCTAATGGAATGTATCTTCATACAAACCCTACCTATCACCAGCATACTATGAATGCGCCTGGAGCGCGCAGCGCACTTCAGGCCGCTTGGCTAAGCTTGCCTTGGCTGAACTTTTTTTTAGCTCCAGAGTCGCTAAATGGGACCCTACCAATGAACCCCTCGTTCGGAGAGCAAGACATTGGTGGGGTCACTTGTTCGGTTCTAGTCCCATTTGGCGACTTTGGAGCTCAAAACGCGTCTGGGAATTTCGACAGCGGCCTTCTGGCCCACTGCGCGCTGGGGCTGTGCGACGACGACGCTTGGCGAGCGCCAGCATCATGCTCTGCCTCCTCTTTGGCACTGAGGCACTGTCGCACGAGGGGTCAACCCCTCTGGTAATCGTGTGTACTCTTCGTCCAGTAATCATTGGTAATCACACGCCAAAACTGGCTATTGTCGCCGTTTTTATCGGATTTCGGGGGTTTTTCTCATGAAAAGAGGCCAAAATGCTCTAAGCTGGCCAAAATTATAGTTTTTTTTGAGTATTTTTGTAGGTAATCCGAGGGGGTATGCGCTCTCTGAACCTGTGTACCGACTATTACGCTATTACGCTCTATTACGCCACAAATTAATCGGAATTTAGCTAAAAACGGCCTAAAACACACCAAAATTGATAAAATTTTGACAATTTCGACTATTACGCGACTATTACGCGTATTATTACGCAAGCTATTACAGATAGAGTGAACCGACTATTACGCGAGTGCATACCCCCTCGAGGTAATCACTGGTAATCTGTAATCTTGTGTACACTCCTGAGCTGAGTGGTTGACCCCTCCTGTCGCAGCGTGCGAGCGGTACCTCCGGAGCTTCTGCGGCCGCAGCCTCCCCTTCCGCACGGCCGTGCCGGGCAGTCGCGAGGCCGAGCAGTGCCACTTCCAGGAGACGGTGCCTCCGGTCGGAGCCCCGCGGCCGGAAGAGGACGGCGGCGCCGCGCTCCCCGCCGCAACGCTGCCCTCGGGGCTGCCCGCCGGCCCTGGAGCCGGCCGCGGCTTCGAGTTCGCCGGCGTCACCGAGTTCCCCCACCAGGTACGCGGCGTTGGCGGCGACGTGACGTTCGCGGCGGCCGGCGCACTCACCGCGCCCACGCATGGGACTGTGCCGAAGGTGACTCGCTCTGGTGCTGCAGGTGCTGCTGTCGTACGACCGCGAGGCCAGGGAAGTGGCCTGCGCGGGCGCGCTGGTCGCCCCCAACTACGTCCTCACGGCGGCCCACTGCGCCACGCTCGCTTGGTAGGTAAAGGTTAGATCGCCCCGCCGCGCCAACCACACTGGCAGAACTAAAGCGTACTTCTACGCCTTTCTCCAAGCGTAGTAGAACTACGCTCGGCTTCAAGTGTAGAGAAGAAATTCTCCCATGCATTTAGATAGCCGTGAGAGAGGCGAAAATGAGAACTATAGTTCTCCATTTCGCCTCTCTCTCGGCTATCTAAATGCATGGGAGAATTTCTTCTCTACGCTTGACTTGAGCGTAAAGTCTTCAAGCGCAGTTGTATGCTTGAATGAAGCATACAACTACGCTCCAGTTTTACCAGTGCATCCTGTCCTAGCCGAACGTCGTGACGCTGCACAGTGGGTCAGAAGACCGGTGGAGGCGGCCAAAACCCTAGACGCGTTTTGAGCTCAAGAGTAGCTAAACAGGACTCGAGCCGAACGTGTGACCCCACCATTGATCTCCAAACGAGGAATCCATTGGTGGGGACACACGCTCGGTTCGAGTCCCATTTAGCGACTCTGGAGCTCAAAACGCGTCTTGAGTTTTGGCCGCCTCCACCGGTCTCCTGGCGCACTGTACGCTGGACGGCGCCCGTTCCGTGTTCCAGTGGCAGACAGGTGCAGCAGGTGCTGGTGGGCAAGAGGGCTCGCACTTCGATCCCCATCGACGTGCTGGACGTGGAGGCCGTGGTGGTGCACCCGCAGTTCGACCGCGACACGCGTCGCTACGACGTGGCCCTGCTGCGCCTGGCCCAGCCCGTCTCCCTCGGCATCCAGGCCCGGCCGGCCTGCCTCCAGACGGACGGCGACGACGACGTGATGGACAGCCTCCTCACGGCCTCCGGCATGACGGCGACGGGCAGATGTGAGTTTGGATCTTGGCGGCAGACTGCCTCCTGAATTTTTTTTTATTTTTGACTTCGCGTTTCTTGGCCTTGCCAGGGGAGGACGTCGAGGGGGAGATGCGCAAGGCGACCGTCGGCGTGGAGGCCGCCGCTGCCTGCAGGGCGCGCCAGCCCCGCGTCGCCGACGTCGCCGACCACCAGCTGTGCACGAAGCCCGGCGGACCGCCAGTGCCCGTGAGTATCACTGCCTCAACCGGCAGCACGGGGTGCGGAAGGTGCGGGCGGGATGTTGAAGGGGGTGATGTCGTGGTGGAAGCCGCCAGGGCACAGTGGGCCAGAAGACCGCTGCAGGTGGACAAAATTCTCTAGACGCATGTTGAGCTCCAGAGTCGCGAAACAGGACTCGAACCGAACGTGTGACCCCACCAATGGAGTGGGATTCCTCGTCCGGAGAGCAATCCATTCGTTGGGTCACACGTTCGGTTCGAGTCCTATTCCTCCGGGGCTCAAAACACGTCGAGAATTTTGACCACCTCTGGTCTTCCGGCCCACTGTGCAGGGCTGTCCAACGCCCGCCCTGTCTAGCAACTTTAGATTTCAGTTCTGATTTCTGTGCGTTCTTTTGAAGGGGGAGACGGGCGGGCCGATCCAGGTCGTGCACCGCGTGCTGGACGGACTCAGCGTCCACCGAGTGGTGGGCATCCTGTCCAGGCTGTCCCCGTGTGGCTCCGGACGCGACTCCGGACGCCCCGACGTCTACACCAAGGTGGCCGACGTCGTGCCCTGGATCGAGAGCGTGGTCTGGCCAGCGGGCTGAGTGGAGCCGAAGGGGAGCCCAGACTCCGTGAAGGATCTTCAACTTTGAGTCAGAATAAAAGACGGCATTCTCTTTGGACCTTGTCTTTTATTTAACCAATAATATTTCGACACCTGGCGAATATTCTTCTACATCATAAAGCGTGAGGAGGAAAATGACCAGACTGGTTTCAAACAAGCTTGGAATGCATATAGTAAACATGTGAACACATACAAAAAAGTGCTTAAGTGAGTCTTTCTTTCAAGACCATGGATGAATTAAAATCCGGCGAGATCCAGTTCATGGTGGAGCGTCGAGCAGACACTGCAAAAGAAATGTCATGTCAATGCCGTTAATTTTTTACCAGTTTTCACTGTAGGTCAATTCACAGCGTTTACTGGGATCTGCTCACGCGATTCACTGTGCGGTGTTCACTGTGATCTGGTCCACAGTAAACACTGTTAGTTTGACGCCGCTGAGCACTGCAAATCAGGCTCCAATCCACGGCGTTTACTGTGGCCAGATCACAGTGAACACTGTGACCGAGATCACAGTGAACGCCGTGAACTAGTTCACAGCAAACGCCGTGAATTGCTTAACAGCGAACATTGGTAATAAATTAACGGCATTGACAGGACATTTTTTGTACAGTGGAGGCGCTGGCCGTTTGGCTCCAGGGCGAGCCTGGCCACGCCGCCACGGTGCCCTTCACCGCCAGCAGCAGCAGACTGCAGCTCCGCCCTGGGACTTGGATCTCCGACCTGCGAGTTAAGTTTGTCAAGTTGGCGCTCTGATCTGAATCAGGTATGAAAATTGCGACCTGATCGTCTCAGAACCTGAATTCAGACCAGTGCAGTCTGAAAATTTAGATGGTTAAGTCTGAAAATTCAGACCAACCCAAGATTTCGTTTGTCCGCTAGATGGCGCGCATGTTGTGGAACATACCTACTTCTGTATAAAAGGCTTCTAATGTGAAAATATATTAGTCGAAAAGTTCCAAATTGATAGAACTTAATCGGCCATATGAGAACCATTCTCTGCTGCAAGATTTATCTCCCTAATATGGGTGGAAGTTGAACAATCCACATTCTAATTTACCTCTCGCGGGTGGCTCCGTGTCGCCAGTTCCTTGGGTGGCCACAGGCCGGCCTCTCAAGAGTCAAGGAAAAGAACAGAGGACCTTCTCCCTCCTCACAATTTTTACCCAGTGTTGTCCTCTCTGGAGGTTCACAAACACCTGAGATTCTTTCTACGTCTTATTGACAATGGCACGAACCTTAAAGTTCACAATCTTCGTACAGGACTGAATTTTCAGACCACCAAAATCTTGAATGTAAGACTCTCGAGTTCTGAATTTTCAGACCATCTAAATGGTCTGAATTTTCAGACCTCAAGTCTGTTAATAACTTCTTACCAATTTGGTCTGAATTTTCAGACTTTTTTTTTAACAGTGTTGGGATAGCGTCTATGGACCCCGACCAGTAAGGATGGTCACCTAGCGCCCTGGCGAGTCAGGAGGAGGCGATTTATTGTGCAGACATTTATCGAGTGTAGTTGACGTGCGGCAAAATGTGGGAGTCTCGTCAGTCGTGGTACCACCTCGCCGCCACCCTCCCGGCGGCCACAGCCTTGGCGGCGACTGCTGCGCGACGCCGCCCCCTCCTCGCGCGCGCCGCCCTGGCCCTGGCCCTCCAGTGCACCACGCACTCGGCCGCCAGCAGCAGCAGCGGCACGCACAGGAAGCACGCGTACGTGGCCAGCACCCAGCGCACGTGCTCCAGCGAGACCTGCAAGGGGAAATAACTTCCAATTTCAGTGTACACATTTTGGAATTCCATACGTGAATTTTAGATGAATTTCAATGGATTGAAGCCAAATTTCCATGGATTTTGATTCTAAAAAACCTCATTGTTGTAGGAAGAATTTCTCTAAATTTCTGCTCAATTTCATGAACTTTGAAGAAGTTGGGCTGCATTTCAAGATTGTCCTTGACTTTTTAATGTTCAAATTCTTTGGAGCTTATTCCCATTTTGGAGACCTGTACGATGGCCGTCACTGAGGTGTCGTCGAAGTCCTGGCCCGAGCTGCTCCGGATTGTGAGCCCGTCCAGGTACGTCTTCTCCAGCCTGTCCAACACACCGGTAGCGCGGCAGCGGGTGATCCTGCGCAATATGCAAAGAACGTTTTATAACAACAAAACAATGACCAATCATACCGAACTGGTAGTCATGAACAAGCTTTCTTGTTTAGTTAAAACAACCAATGTTTTTCGCTCAATTTTTCTTTTTTGACTTGTGAAGTGAGTGAAGAAGAATGGCAAAAACAGGAATCAGTCCCTAAAAGTCGATGATTCGTGAATACTAATTGTTCATTCAGGGTCTGAAAATAACTCAAAGGTTCGTAACTAAAGCGTCTACGTACACGGTAAAAACGGTTCCTGGTTTTCCCAGGAGCTCCCTGGAAATCGCCTGTGTTCACCACAGCTTCCTGAAAAAACCAGGAACCGTTTCACCGATTAGCACCAGAAATATTGAATCAGCGCACCCAAAATAAGGTACCAACTTCTGGATTTTTGTTGTTGAAATTGTTGAAAGCCCTAGGCACACTGTGAAATCCAATCTCCGGAATTCACGATGAAAAAATGGACCTGGGAATATTCAGACGATTCCCGCCCGGAAATTGATGAATTCGTTAATTTCCGGGAATCTTAAGATTCTTCGTACATCTACAAAGATTCTTCGTTTTACGAAGGTTTTTCGTAAATTCATTCACGAAAATTCTAGGTCTGTTCTTCGATCTTTTCAGAGGAGGTTTGTACCGTCATTAATTCTCAACAGGGTACTTCAGAGCTGGAGCGGAAATGGAGAAGAAATCAACAAGAACAAAGGCCGGACTTGTATGAGAATATACTCTGCCGAAGCGGCAGAACGGCGACGTAGACGCTCATCTCCGAGTTCATCTCACAAATTTGACAAACTTTGTTCTTTTCTTCTCACCTTTCCGTTCCTGCTCTTCTCCGAAGTACCATTCTTTTCCTGTAGTGCGGAGGGTGGGGAGGGTGGCCCACCTTTTTTAAAAGTTTCAAAAATTGAGGAGCGCCGTCCAGATTCTGAAAAAAGGTGTAAAATCATGAATTTTAATTCAAATATGTTTAGATTTGGACCATTCTTAGGAGTCCATCAACGCGCCTGATCAAAACCTTTCGAAAACGTCTCACACGTCAAAATCGGTTGGGTTGCCTACATGTTAGTTAGGGGTTAACGGGATTATACGCCCCTGGCAAATAGGCCATGCGTCGGATCGTCATGTGAAGTACATCATCGAGTTGAACACACTTTTTCCGAAAAGATCGCCATTTTGCAATCGGAAATCAGACAAAGACTCTCGAAACAGCATCGATTTTAGTAAACCAGTCCATTTTCAATTTTTCTTTAAAGTTCAGGCGCGTTGATGAACCCCTAAATGGTCCAATTCTAATCATATTTGTATCAAAATTCATGATTTTAAACCTACCTTCAGAATATGGACGGCGCTCCTCAATTTTTGAAACTTTTAAAAAAGGTGGGCCACCCTAGCAGAGGGCGTACGCACATGTAGTCGAGGGCGCGCGTGTAGGGGAAGCCTGGCCTCAGCAGGACGGAGGCGGTGCCGCGCTGCATGCGCTCGCGCACCCGCTGCACCCTGCCGCGGCAGTCCGGCCTCGCCTCCAGCGACGCCGCCATCACGCTGGGGATCTCCAGCGCCACCGCCGGCGTGTCGCACAGCGCGTCGGCCACCCGCTCCGACTGCGACGCGTCGCGGCACACGCCCTTGTTGAGCACGGACGCCCACTTGCCGCTGCGCTGCGGACACCGTCGTGCCGAAAGCATGAGCAAAGGGCGTATGCCCAGGGGAGATGACTCCAGCCAAATTTGTACACCGAAATTTCTTAAACATGTAGAATTCACTAAAATTCGTTTAAATTTATCGAAATCCGACTTAAATTCATCAAAATTCGACTAGAATTTATCGAAATTTGACGAATTTATCGAAATTCGATTGAAATTCATTGGATGTGTACACCGAAATTTACAGTGTTTTCCTTGCGTATTGCCTGGCAAATTTTTAGTTAGTCCTCCCAGAAAAGAAATCCTGAAGCCTGCAACGCTCAATTTTAAACTTCAGAAAAATTAACTTTCAGTAAAATATGGGGTGTTTAGTTCTTCCCCTGTGCAGTTTTGCCCCGCACTGACCCAAATGTGCCGAGAGTGTGCATATGGTCAAAGTACTTCGAAGGGTTTTAAGCGTGCCGTTCTTGAAAAGAACCACTCCCTCATTCATCGGAGGAATGGAGCGCAAGAGCCCTTGTACGCTTCAAGGGCGTACTCTACAAACTCAAGTGTGCAGATAGCGTACTTCAGGCTGAAGCCTGCCAGCACATTTCACCTGGAACCAACCTGGCATGTATACTCCACGTTCGGGCATGCTTGCCACCAGGTGGCGCAACCTGCGAGTAGGATACACTGTTGCTGAAGTCCCCTACCTTTTGCATATAAAGCACAGCAACATGGCAAGCATGCTCTAGGGTAGAGTGTACGTGCCAGGTTGGCTCCAGGTGGAGTGTACATGCAGGCTTGCTTCAGCCTGAAGCATGCAATATACACACTTGAGTTTGTAGAGTACGGACTGTGCGCTTTCCACGAGAGGCGTTAGGTTACGCATTGCTTTGCATGAGCGCTGCTGATGAAACACTCTAAGGAATCAGTCTTCTGAGTTTTGGGCCTTGAAACGCACAGGGTCAGCGCCTGCGAACTGTGGGTAGGCAAGCCCGCCACACGCCCGAGCTCAACGGGCACTCAGCGCCTGCGAACTGTGGGTAGGCAAGCCTGTAACACAGCCGAGCTCAATGGGTAGCCTATCCTGAGTTCGCAGGCGCTTGCACACAGAGTGGCATGGAGTCACTGTGTAAATAAATCTTCAATGGTGCACCGAGACTCAGAGTCGAGGGGGCGAAAACTCGGGATTTTCGTGTACACATGATTCGGAAAACGCAATGATTTCATGGCTGATTAGCCTTATTTCGCGACGCACCAGGGTGATGTTGAGCGTGATAGTGTGTGATTGTGTTCGGGAAGAAATGATTTCGGACTGATTTTGCCTGGTTTCGTGTGATTCTGCCTGATTTCGGTCGAATTTAATGATTTTGGTTGATTTCGGATTGCTTGATTGCGCGTGATTCTCAATGGTTCGGATGTGATTTCGGGGGCCGTGTACACATGATTGCGCGAGTTTTTGCCCCCTCGCTCAGAGTTTGTCCCGTTGCGGGTGCACCTTGAGCGTGAGGTAGGCGTAGCTCTCGTTGCGCACGCAGAGCACGTGGGTGCCCTTCTTGGCCACGTCGTCCAGCCCGCTGAAGGGCGCCGTGGAGTGGCCCGAGGCCAGGTAGCTGATGAGCACGGCGGAGTACGAGTTGCACAGCAGGTAGCCGAAGAGCAGCGTGGTGACCACGATCAGCCGGATGGACAGGCAGCTCGGGCTCTCCTGCCAACCTGGACGCGGCACGCGGCGCGGAGTCTGAGAGCAACTCGCAACTCAAAGCGGGTGGAAAGTTAATGTGGATGTCAATGTGAATTTGAATGTGAATTTGCATGTCACTCCTCTGCAGACCGCAACTCTGAGAATGGAAAAGTCAAAGTCATAACCAGGATTGAGACTTGGGGTGTTTTTTAAACCAAAAATGAGGAAACCACCCAAATCTGGGTAGGTTTCCTTACCAAAACTTGGGCAACGATGCTCGTACAGGTAGCAGATACACCCTGCAAAGCCCAAATTTGGCGAAGAAAACCGTTTTCAAACAAATTTGGCTAGAATTGTAATCCTCACCCAAGTTTGGGTCATAAATTATACCTCACCCATGGTTTTGATCCAAACTCTTCCCTTCTCAGGGAACCAGCTCGAACTCCATATTTGTTTTACAAATTAAGTACGAGACGTTACAGTGTTTTGTGTAGATGAACTTATTGTTTAAATTTGTAAGCAGTTTTGTTCAAAAATTGAGAAAAAAATATTTGGAGATTCTTGCACAAAGGCGTACAAAAAGATCATCTGTACAAAAACAGCTGTGACGACTGGAACAAAATAGTACATAGCGTCCAATAACCAGAGATGAGACGCTGACGTCACGAAAACATTGCCATGCGTCTACGGGGTACGAATGTTTGCCGCACAGCAGGATTTTTCGTGACAAAACAAGCGTCTCACGTAATTTGTGGACGCTCCCTTCACGTTAATATTGTGCTAACCCTGGGTGCAGATGCAGCCCAGCACGGCCAGGAAGCAGTGGCCCAGCGAGGTGTTGGCCGGCTCCATGCCGGACCCCATGCCCACGGCCGTCCTGAGCCACACCATGGCCCTGAGCACCACGCACAGCAGCAGCACCGCGGCCAGCGTCATGGCCCACATGGAGGGGCTCAGGGCGCGGATGTACGAGTCGGCCGACACCTGGGGCGCGCCCTTGCGCACGAACAGGTGGTACCTGCGAGAGAGAGGGCCGGGTGCACTGGAAGAATGTCACATTAAGTCAAAATAGAGCATGATATAGACAGACGTATCAGGGCACGTGGGAGCAAGCGAGAGGTTTGTGCGTCCGGCACGCACATCGTCTCCAGTGTAAGGCCCCTGTCCTAATAAACGTCCTCCGGATGAAATGGTGAAATTTTGCACAATATAACTAAGACAAAAGTTTATTTCTTCTGTGACGCAGGTTACCAATGGGTGACGACGGGCTGGGTGTGGTAGAACTGGTCGTCCTCCTCCGTGGTGACCACGGTCGCGGACAGGTACACGTCGGCCACCTCGGAGTGCAGCATGAAGCGCGCCGTGTTGCCGCTGGCCCGCATGTACACGCTCCTGAACGATGGCGGAAAAGCGCACTCTCAAAGCCTTGCCTAAGCGAAGATTCCACAAAAAATGGTGAAAGTTCTCTTTAGAAGGGGGTGCACTGGTAAAACTAAAGCGTAGTATTACCCTCTGATTTCAAGCATAATCAATCAGATTACGCTTGAAATCAAGCGTAACAGGCTCATCCGTCAAGATTCCTCCTATCTAAATGCATGGGGAAATTTCCAGAGTGTGCTTCATTTCAAGCGGAACGTCTTCAAGCGTAACTTTATGCTTGACTCAAGCATAGAGATACGCTTTGGTTTTACCAGTGTGCTCTTGACGTTGTCACTTACTTCTCTGAAAATTAATTGTACATTATCTCATACACAGTAAATTGAAATGGCAGAATCCGTAACGGTTCGGCACAGAAACCGCCAGTAAATGATTCTGAATTTGGTAGTCACAGAAACTGGCATGGGCTAACAGAAACTGACAAAGGCTCCACAGAAACTGGGATGGGCTCATAGAAACTGCTAAGGGGTTGCGGTCTCGCTGGCCAACCTAACCTCACTGTGTCTCTGGATGCTTTTGTTGTTTTGGACATTATTTACATATTTTGATGAGTGTGCATACTTTTTCTTGCTTTGACAAGTCTACCAATTAATATTTTCCTTACGCGGTACATCTACACTCTTTATTTCCAATAATATAACATCTCAAAGTCGCGAGGTGGAGGGAATCGCAATTGACGATTACGGTGCAGCGTTTTCCGGATTCCGTGGCGAGTGCACGGATTCCGTCGCCTGTGTGCAGAATGGGTTTGCCGTTGGCGGTTTTGGTGCAAAACCGCCCCGGATCTATTTACCTGTCGGTTTCTGCGATTTGGGGCTCTCAGACCACTACAGATTCTGCCATTTCAATTTACTGTGTATTTTGTCGGTTTGCTCTCGTATACTGGAGAAAATCTCCACCATAATGGCTATTGGTGGAGCCTGTCTCCTCCAGAATTTAAGAGTGCGTCCCTCAGTTTGAGCAAGGGTGCATTACAGTATTGCAGCGCTCGGCGGTGCATTCCTCACTGATAGAAAAACAAACTACAGAAAAGGCACGGAACATGTCTGGTCCGTTCCTTGCCAATCACGGAAGTTCCGTACATGTTTTCTGTACCGGTTTACTTGAGATCCTTATGGGAACCACAGAGAAACAGTACGGAAGGTGCGTACCTATGCCGTACCCCATTTGGCGTGCATTTTCCGTAACAAACCACGGAAGTTTTGGCAGTGTACCTGAAGTTGAGCGTCTTCTCGAAGATGGACCACAGGTCACCGAGGTAGCCGGTCAGGTTTACCGCTGTTCCCCGGCCGTGACTCATGACATACGGCTTCAGCTGCAACAGTCCACATTCTATGATACAGTTCAAATTCACTAACCTAACTGCCTACTAAATACACGCTTACAACTGCATATAGGACATTGAACACTTGGAAGCATACTTGGCAATCAAGAACCTATAAAGCCCCAATCCGACTGACTCACTGACTCACTGACTCACTCACTCACTCATAGAAATGTTTGGGGTGAAGGAGTGGTCGTAGAGACTTGCGGTTTTTTCCATTCGATTCCAAATTTTATGGGAAAATTGGGAAAAATCCCGAAAGTTGAAAATTCCTCACCGTTTCCGAGAAAACCTACTTTATCTACAAAAAAGGGGAACAAATTTCTCACCGTTTCCGAGCAAACATACTCAATCTTCAAAAAAGGGGACCGACCGACTAAAAATTTTTATTCGCCCCATCGGTAGGTCTGGTCGAAAAATTTCCGGATCTGTGCCGCAATCCGGTCTCCGTCACTGGCAACATCCTCAAAAAACGATTAAATAGGCCTAAATTCAACAAAATCCACTCAATCTTCAAAAAAGGGGACCGACCGACTAAAAATTTTTATTCGCCCCATCGGTAGGTCTGGTCGAGACATTTCCGAAACTGTGCCGCAATCGGGTCCTCGTCACCGGCAACATCCTCAAAAACGATAAAATAGGCCTTAACAAAATCCACTCTATCTTCAAAAAAGGGGACCGACCGACTAAAAATTTTTATTCGCCCCATCGGTAGGTCTGGTCGAGACATTTCCGAAACTGTGCCGCAATCGGGTCCCCGTCACCGGCAACATCCTCAAAAACGATAAAATAGGCCTAAATTTACCTCTGTGAAGGTGGCCTGACCCATCAATCCCGCCCAAGTCCGACCGTATGTTTTTGATTGTTTTTCGTTTGTTTAGGTTTGTTTAGCGTTTGTTTTGCTTCTGAATTGTATCCCGACCCGGATTTCAAGGACCCCTAAATCGCCGAAGAAGTTGGCCCGACCCACTTTAACCGTGAGTCCCTACTTAACGCTGGTTTGTTATTTCGACTCGAAATCGTTAGTTGACGTTTGTTTTGCCAAAAGTTAGGCTCTCGGACGAACCATTTTGGCCAAAGATGCGCGGGTCCTATTAGTAAAAATAGTGGGTCGGGCCAGATACCCAACGTGTGGTTATAATGAAATGCGAAGTACCAAACCTTGAATTCAGGTTAAGAGCGATCTGTTTCGTTTACTTTTGCCCTAAGGTGTACAACTTTTTCGTTGTAAGAGCATTTCTCCTAAAATTCGTGCACTGTTATTCAAATTGCGATAACCACCGTATAAATTTTGCAATAAAAACTTATCACATTTTTTTTTGCTATAATGACAACTAAATATCTGCAATAAAAAATTTATAGCTAAATTTTGCAATAAAGTATCACATTTTTGCGCTAATGACTACAAAGAAAATGCAATAAAAGGTTATCGCAGAAAAAAAATGTGATAAAAGTTACTACAAAACGCTCTTTTATCGCAAAAATTATGGGGTGGTTATTGCAAAAAAAGTGCAATAACAAAATTATCGCACTCCAGGATGCCTGGGGTAATTCCGGACACGTGCACAGTGGTTTAAAATCCTCTTTTAGGGGGAATAAATCGATTTTTCAAAAGTGTCGCAGGGGGCATTCTGGGGGGGTGGAAACGAACTATAATACTCCAATACAATATAAAATGACGTTTACAGATTTTTATATGACGCTGGAAGCCACTGGGAAGGGTTTGATTTTAGTCTTTTGTATTTTGATCAAATTCGCCTAATTTTCTTAGATGTGTCCTACCCTTATTTTTCCAATGAGGGCGATGGTACTGGTATGTTGGCGTGTTTTTCTTTTCGTTTCATCATTAATCAAAGGAAAGCAGCACACAGCGCAACATTTCGTTCGCGGTTTGGCTCACGGTGGCGGGTTTTTGCTACAAATGCGTTCAACACATTAGAAAACACACTTTTGGAGTTTCGGACATCGATGGGGCCCGATGGAGCGGAGTTATTGGTGCGAGGCGCTTCCCTTACATGTATATTAAGATGCCCCGATGATAACTTTTCCGCACTCGTCCGCAACACGAAACGCAAGGGGACCAACACCACAAAAACGTGCCAAATTGATTAGTTTTGGGGATAATCGCTTCTGGTGTGCACCATTCAAAATGAAGAAAACATCAGTGCAATTGTTTTTCTGTTCAAATATTTGGTTTTTCTTAGTAACAAAATAGTTTAATGCGGCTTAGAAGTTAAAACTAAGTATTTTGAGCATTTTTTAGTTTTGCACTTTTTGTCAATTCTGTCATTTTTCTTCTAATTTTGCTATTTTTCTCATTTTTTTAGCATTATACATCCAATTTTTATCGGACCACTTTTTCCTTTGAACTGGTCTTTGCCTATTGCCTACAGATGATTCAGTTCAATTCTGGTAGCATTTGGTCGCACGGGACGCTTGCTAGGACTTATTCCCCCGAAAATCGCATTTTAAACCACTGTGACGTGCAGGGCTTTTGTTGGGCGCCTATATCTCCCTTACCGTTGCCGAGATTTGGCTTTCATGTATATCATTTTGAAGGTAAAGGTCCGTACTTTACTCTCCTGTGATAACATTTGACCCAAGAAGCATATTCAAGCTCAAAGACCAAAAAGAAAAAGCGTCCGGAATTACCCCACTCTCCCTTAACAATCAAGCGCGGAGTGCCAAACCTTAATTTTAGGTTAAGGACGGTGAGTTTCGAAAAGTTTTGCCCTTAAATGAACAACTTTTACGTCCACAGTAATTTCTTTATCAATTTCAAAATCGTGGGTTGGGCCAGGTTTCAAACTTGTAGTTTTTATCAAACGCGAAGTACCAAACCTTACATGAAGGCTAAGAACGATAAGTTTCGATAAGTTTTGCCCTAAGATGCAAAACTTTTACGTCTACGGTGATATTTTTTCAATTTCAAGGTCGTGGGTTGGGTAGGGTGGCCCAAAAAAATGGGAAGGTTTTCCGATTGTCCAATTCCGCTCAAAAATCGATTCTAGATCGAAAAAAAATAACCCCTATTTTTTGCGTTTTGCCCTGAGACGATTTTGAATACCGGCTCAATAGCGAAAATGGTTTTTAACCCGTTTTAAGCACCAAAATTGTCATAACAATTACAGTTTTTATCGGATTTTCAAAAACGATACGGCAAAATGTTCGGTTTTAGACGGCGAACAAATTACACTTTCACCAATTTTTTGTCAGACTCGTCTTCAGTATTCTGCTTGCGATTTTCGCTCAAAAAAACACATATTGTTTACTATTTGGAGATAATTTTCTTGTTTCGGACGGCCGAGTTGCGTCCCTATCCACTTTTTTATCTTACCATATCCCAAAACAAACCGACCACGTGAAATAAAGCCGTGCAAATCAATTTGCATGCCATCTAGGGGCAAGCATTTCGTTGTTTTTAGTATAAAGAAAAGTCTGTTGAGCTCTGAGGCCGCAATTTTCCTTCGATCCTCAAAATCGAGATGTCGTTTTGTTTAGTTTTTAAAGACGAACAAAAAGATTCTGGTCATTTTTTTGTCAGACAGTGTTTTAAGATCCGTTTCTGCTTGAAACGTGCAAAAATCGCCCAAATTCGAATTTTTTGCCCACTTTTGGACCGTTTTTCGGCATACGGGACATGAGCCCCGTCCCGTTAGAGCCCCGATGGTCTGAGCCCCGACCTGCACTGTAAAAAAAATTTATAGTCAAATTCCTATACATGTATATGAAGCTATTTACATATACACGTATAGTAATTTTACCATGCACTAGTATGGTAATTTTCCTATACATCAGTACGGGATTATGACTATTACGTGTATTGGCGTTCTCCTATCCGTTGTATAGGAATTTTTCTATACATCGGAATGGCGTAACTGCAATGCATGTATAGGATTTCCACCGCAATTTCTAAATTAGGCAGGCTGCACCGGCTGAACTGTCAGATATTTAATACAACGGCCGAACTTTCCGCCGTAATTGACCATCGAGTGTGGATCATTACTGATCCTCCATCACGGTCTTCCAAATTGGCAAAGTTCGACTTTACCTAAAGGACACCCAAGGTGAAAGTATTATCACCTCTGTTAAAATGATGTAAGAGTTGAAAGGTTCTCAACTTTCCTACAAAGTGATGGGTCGCGAGCCCCCTGACCCAACCAAATTCCTAGCCGCAGCGTACACCGAGAAGTAAGTCCGTCGAAACGACACTAGCGCCATCTAGCGGATAATCCGGACAGTAGGCAAACAAGCAGCTTTTGGGAATTGTGTACGTTGTTAACAAATAATCGCATTGATTACCAGTGTTAAGACAAAATACAATAATATGTATCGATGTTCATGGGGTTGATGGCAAATTCCTTTTTTTCAGTTGGCCGTATTCCTATACAGGGCTGCAAAATTCCTATACATGTATGGGAAATTACTCAAATTCCGATAATGTACAGGAATATTCCTATACATTTTCAGCCCGTAAAGCAAAAAACCTATACAAATCGGAATATTCCTATATATGTATCGGAATTTGAGAAATTTCCCTATACATGTATAGGAATTTCGTAGACCACTGTATGGAAAAATTCCGAACATTTTTTACAGTGTGAGTCCCAACCTGACCCGGGGTTGAGCCCCGACTTGACCCCCTTTTTGAGCCCCATTTGACCCCCGCGACATGATTTATTGCCAGGGGGCTCAAGTGGGGCTCAAATGGGGCTCAAATGGGGCTCAAACGGGGCTCAGGTCGGGGCTCAATCCGGGCTCTGGAAATTGGGGCTTGGGTCGGGGCTCAAGTCGGGGCTCAACCCGGGCTCGGGTTGGGGCTCAGTGGGGGCTCAGACCATCGGGGCTCAAACGGGACGGGGTCATGTCCTGTATGCCCTTTTTTCTCGTCAGCGATCCACGTGACCAGCCGATGATTACTCTTTCACCTTCCCTAGCCTTTCTGGAATGGCTGGAATTAAGAAGAGTCAGGTCCTAGACACGAACTAACAGGTCCAGGCATGATTTGGCGCGTCGTTTAGAATTTTTCTTTTTGAAAAAAGGATAAACAAGGCCAGCACGGACGGTTTTGGGCCCGTGTGA